AGCTCCCTCAGCCTCTGCTCATGGAACCTGTGCTCAAGGTGACATCTTGTACTGCTGGGCTGAAATACACAACACACAGATTTTGGCCAAAAGTTTTACAGTAAGCTGAGACTCAATGCTCATCGAGCAACAGAGAAGTTTGACACTGTTTTGTGACAGGTACTGTCAGCAGCTGTAGCTGTTCAAAAACCATAAAAGCTATTGTAGGTTGATGTGTTGATATATCTATTTCTTCATCTAATATTTCTGTTGGGATTTTAAAACCAGTCCACCAGCTTAGATTGCCATCCCTCTTCCTGAGACATAGGGAACTCTGAAAGTTTGCTTGGTCCTTTATTATCTAATATTTCTGTTGGGATTTTAAAACCAGTCCACCAGCTTAGATTGCCATCCCTCTTCCTGAGACATAGGGAACTCTGAAAGTTTGCTTGGTCCTACTATTTTATAGAGCCCAAATGGAATCCATGAAGTTTCTCAGCATTGTTTTTTATGTTTTGAACCCCATTGACTTGCTCAAGAAAAGTCAGGTAACACAAGGAGGCAGTTTAAGACCTAGGACATGGCTCTGAAAATGAAATTGGATTTCCTAGATGTGCACAGCAAATTGCTGAAGTTCTCATGATAGTACAAATGTTTTTGATAAGTTTCCATCAAATGTAGAAAACTGAGAATGTGAGACAAAGAGGAAAACTTTATTTAGTGGACTAAAACATAGTTTTGCTTGGTTTGTGATAACTCAAAACACAATCCATGTCTTCCACTGATGTACAGTTACCTAGTGACTAGAAACTTCAATCTGGGGAACTGTGTACCACAAAGATGCTGCAAAACTAACTTCACTTGGAACTTCAGAACACTTAATGCCAGAAGTTACTGGTGCTTATTTTACAATTTTTTAGAAAACTTACCTTGATAATCTAAATCATTACTAACTTTTATTTCATGTACCCTAATCAATCTTGGTTTTATGTTCCTTTCCTTGCTTTTCTAGAAGTTTTTTAATGCACTGAGACACGTTACAGTGCTAAAAACAGTGTGGATTTCAAAAGCCAGTGCTGTCCAGAGAAAAGGCAGGTAATAAGTGCTTCCTCCTGATTTTTACTTTGCACATCTCCACTCTCTTGTCTGTTAACACACCATCATAGCAGCCACACTGGGTAATGTTTCTGGCCTGGCCCAGGCTCAGGTTGGACAGTGACCAACACACTCTCTGCAGAAGGGTCAGGGTCAGCATATAGTGCTGTGAGATCACTTCCCAAACTGTAGGAAAGTGACACTCTGGAATTGCCCCAAACTTACATTAGGTCCACATTGTTTTTCCCCCATGAACTTGTTCTCCTTCCTCTTTCTCCCACGTAGCACCAGCAGGCACCATGTCCCATGAGGTGTTTCACAGCTTGTCTGTGGGCTAAGAGCTGCCTCCTGCTAGTTTTGAACTGATGCCCCATATCTCTGTGTTAGGAGAGACATTCAGCAGTGATTCCTTACCTTCTCCAAACTTTTCATGACTTAGGAGGCCAAGAAGCTCTGTGTGTAGCAACAAATGCCTGTCTGGTGCCATCACCTTGGCATTAACCTACAGGTCAATGTGAGCATTTGCTGTCTCTGTCCCTTTGCTCCCAAGTTGTTTGATCTTCCTTCTGTCTTTTACTCCCAGAGTAACTTCTAACTGTTCAGGGGATGTGAAGAGGAAGAAATGAAGTTTGCAATTTCTATTCCTTATAGCAAAGGATGGTTGAGATTTGGGTTGATCTTAGCTTAGCAAAAAACTCACATCACTTTCTTAGCTAGTCCTTATTTTTGTTTCTCCAGATTTTTCAGTGCTAAGTTAAAGTTGTAATTAAAAATTTCCATACTGTCAAAAATAACCCATGTATTGGAAAGTTCTCACCTTGTGTGGCACTTTACTCAACAGCAGACTTACCTTTGTCTTAGAACTGCTACTTTTCCAGGTTTCTGTGTTGGGTTTTGGTTTTCCCAAGTCCCCTGTTTTATTTTCCAGGGCTGGGCGTTGTCAGCCTGGAGTCTGTTTTCATCTCTTCAGCAGGCTCAGATTCCAGAATATGACGGAATTTCGGACTCCAGAACTTCCAAGAATGCCACTTCAGGTGCATGTCCAGTTAGAAATTAAGGAACATACTCATTCCTTGTGGGTAAACTCTAAGAGGTATGGGTTGGATGAGGGCACAGTGAGGTGGACTGAGAACTGGCTGAGCAGCAGATCCCAGAGAGTTGTGATCAGTGTCACAGTTGGGACATGTCTGGTTAGACATCTGTCACTAGTGATGTCCCCCAGAGATCCATACTGGGCCCAGTATTGTTCAGCTTGCTCATCAGTGACTTGGAAAAGGGGACAGAGTTGTCTTCTCAGCAGGTTTGCTGATGATACAAAACTGGGAGGAGTTGCCAATGTCTCAGAAGGTTGTGCTGCCCTTCAGAGGGACCTCGACAGGTTGGAGGGACGAGGCAAAGCAGCACAAACTGAGATTCAACAAGGGCAAATGCAGGTCCTGCCCCTGGGGAGGAATAACCCCAAGCACCAGCACAGGTTGGCACTGACCTGCTGCAGGTCAGCTCCATGGAGGAGGAGCTGGAGGTACTGGTGGACAACAGGCTGTCCATGAGTCAGTGTGTCCTTGTGGCTAAGAGGCCAATGGAGTCCTGGGATGCATTGGGGAGAGCATTGCCAACAGGTCAGGGAGGTGATCCTGTCCCTCTGCTCAGCCCCAGTGAGGCCACACCTGGAGTGTTGTGTCCAGTTCTGCCAGAGGGACGTGGAGCTCCTGGAGCAGTGGAGGGCAACAAAGATGATAAAGGTACTGGAGCACCTCAGTGATGAGGAAAGGCTGGGGGAGTTTGGCCTGTTTGGTCTTGATAAGAGACAAGTGAGAGGGACCTCATGTATTCAGGTGTCTGAAGGGCCAAGAGGATGGATCAGGCTCTTCTCAGTGCTGCAGACCAATAAAACAGCAGAAACTTATGCATAGGAAGTTCCACCTGAATATGAGGAAGAACTTCCCTGTGCAGTGACCAAACAATGAACAGATTTCCAGAGAGGTTGTGGATTCTCCTCACTGGAGATAGTTCAGAACCATCTGGATACAACCCTGAGCTATGAGCTCTAGGGTGACACTGCTCAAGGTGGGACCAGATGACCATTGTGGTCCCATCCAACCTGACTGATTCAAAAAGTGTTTGTTCTTTTTTTCCCAAATCTTCATATTTTTTGTTCTGCTTATTAACTTACAGGAGCTTTGTTTGTACACAAAACTTCTGGCTCCAAGTCACTGTCCAGTTGTAGACTTCCTTATGAAAGCTCCAGATCCTCCAGCTGCTTTGACTGTGAGAAGTGCTGTGCACCTCCTTAAGGTTAGTGAAGGAAGAGATTTAGGTGGGTGTTGGATTTAATTCCATATTTGTGGTGTGGCAACGTGTCTTAGTGACTTCTCTTTGGACTGAAACTGTTTAGTTGCTTAAGGATCCTTTGAATTTTTGTTTTAATTCTGTGTGTGAGGATATGTTTGTCCGTGTTAAGGGACGAGAATGCTTCAAAATCTCACCTCAACCTGTTAATAGCTCGACTTGCTTTGTAGTGTTTGGCAGCAGGTCTAGTTACCATCCTACATTCACACCCTTTCTGCTTCCATTGTAAGTAATTCTCTGCTCTTCCCTTCTCTCCCTCTCCTTTATGGTTGGTTGCAACAGGCAATAGATGCCATGAACCCGTGGGAAGATCTCACCGAACTGGGTTATCGTCTCACTGAGCTCCCAGTCGAGCCAGCCCTGGGCAAAATGGTGTTGTATGCTGTAGTTTTGAAGTGCCTGGATCCTGTGCTCACTATTGCCTGTGCCCTGGCCTGCAGAGACCCCTTTGTGCTCCCTGCCTGGGCCTCTCAGAGACGTGCAGCTATGCTGGGGAGGAAACGCTTTGCTGCAGGGACCTTCAGCGACCACATGGCACTTCTCAGGGCTTTCCAGGTATAGGTCACCCACCAGAGTAAGTCATGCACTAACCAAGTTTGATGCAGATTGAGTCCTTGGAGAAGACTTTGCCTAGTGGATTTTTGTCTGTTGGGCTCTTGAATTTGGGAGGGAACACTTTTTATTGTCAGCTCTTTGGTTGAGGTTTTCAAACCTTGTTCAATTCTGACTGTTCCAACAATGTGTATCCTGCTACACTGATGACTTACAATAATGATCTTTATACTAACTTAATGAGCTTAAAATAACTTCACAGGTTGTTAACAGGTTGCCCATGGAGGCTGTGGCTGCCCCAACCCTGGCAGTGTTCATTCCAGGTTGGCTGAAGCCTTGAGCAACCTGCTCTGGTGGGAGGTGTCCCTGCCCAGGGCAGTAGGTTGGGACTAGATGATCTCTAAGCTCCATTCCAACCTCTAAATTCTATGATTTACACAATGATCACTGTGTTAGTTAAGGGAATGAGTAAAGAGAATCTAGTACTTTAAAAAAATCTGGTTTGATACGTTTCTTTCGGAGTAGTTTTTGCTTTCGTTTTATGGATGTGAATGTAACTTTTTTACATTTTAACTCATGAAATTAATGGGCCAATGTGAACAAAATATTCTTTCTAGGCCTGGCAGAAGGCACGGAGTGATGGCTGGGAGAGAGCCTTCTGTGAGAAGAACTTCCTGTCCCAAGCCACGATGGAAATCATCGTAGGAATGAGAACACAACTGCTTGGCCAGCTCAGGGCCTCAGGTAAACAGCTTGGAAAAAGTGTTAACACACTTTTGGAGTCAAGAGTATACCAATTGTGAGGAGAGTAGTGTTCAGTGTTGTCATTTTCCTTCCTTAACATGGAACAGACCTGTAGACATTGATGCTGGGCATGGGGGAGATGAGGAAATGTGGCTTGGGGGTGGCTGATCTAAGTGCCCTGATTGTTCCACATGCCATTGGCTTTCAGTGAGAGAGAGGTTTCCTTGGTAAATTATGTCCTTGTATTGACAGAGTGATTGTTAGTATAAAACCCCTAACCAGGAAGGATTTCAGGGCAGTGAGTTCTTGGTGCTGTTAAGTTTGTCAATGGTGAAAAATGCAAGAAACTTGTTAGTTCTCTTCAAATTCCTTTTGATAAGCAAAAGTTCTTGGCTACAAGCAAAGAGAGCATGGTGGTTTTGTCCTCTTCTCTCTTCAGGCTTTGTTAGAGCCAGAGGAGGAGCTGATATCCGAGATGTCAATACCAACTCTGAGAACTGGGCTGTGATTAAAGCTGCCCTGGTGGCTGGGATGTATCCCAACCTTGTGCACGTGGACAGGGAGAGCTTGGCCTTGACTGAACCACAGGGGAAGAAAGTGCAATTTCATCCAACTTCTGTGCTCAGACAACCTCAGTGCAAAAAGGTAAGATCACTTTGACTTTCTAGCTCACTGGAAAAAGGGCTCTTTGTTCTGTCAGGTGTTGTAGAAATGGCTCTTCAGAGCTGTCAGTGCTTTAAAAGCAGCACGTGCAGTGAGCACTGCAGGTTTGGACAGTGGTTTTTCTTGCTGGTGGGTAAAGAGTTGGAATTGGTTCATTTCTTGGTGAGTTCAATCAGTCTTTCCAAGCCCAAAATAGTGGGGAAAAAAACTTATAAAACTGTTTTAAAGATGTGACAATCCTTGCTCTGAAACTGATATATATTTAGCTGTGTTTTTGCACCAGAAATCCTTTGCTTCAAAGTGGTAGGAAAATTGGTGAGTCTGGTTCAACTCCCTTGTGCTTTTCTGTTAGTGTTTAGATATTTGTGAGTACTTAAATAAGAAGTATGTTAACACCTAGCTAATCCAGCCCAATCCTTGCTCCTGCACAGATTCCCCCAGCAGATGGACAAGCTGCTGCTATCCGGGCACTTCCTACAAACTGGCTCATATACAATGAGATGACAAGAGCTCACAGGGTAGCAAACATCAGGTGCTGCACTGTTGTAACTTCTGTCACTGTGTCACTCTTCTGTGGACCTGCCAGGTTACCCAGCAATGCTTTGCAGGCACCTCCCTCCTTCCAAGGTATTACTGGAGTTGGAATGTTCCCTTTGGGATGCGTGTGGTGTGGGAGGCTTGTTTTTCAATACATATATGGGCTAATTCTGACAGCACCAGAGCTATAATTCCTCTAGTAGTTCAAGACAGGTTACCCAGGGAGGCTGTGGCTTCTCTGATCCTGATGGTGTTCAACACCAGGTTGGCTAAAGCCTTGAGCAACCTGATCTGGTGAGATACCCCGGCCCAGGGCAGGGGATTGGGGCTGGATGATCTCTCAGGTCCATTCCAACCCTTAAATTCTGTGATTCTAAGACTAGTTTATAGGCTCTGTAACAAATACCTCAATTTTGAGAATCTTTATAAATTCCTAGCCCTAAATTACACTCACACCGTTCTGGACTCTCAGAAATTTCCATATGGTTTGTGAAGAAATAAAAAGTACAGCCCAAATGTCAAGTGATAACACTGATACTGAGAGGTGTAGTAGGTGTGGGTTTTTTCTACAGATTAGTTCATTTGATACTTGGAACCAGATTATTGAAATGAAATTATTTAGGACCCATCAGGATGGCAAAGAGTCACATTGCTCCCAGCTGACATGTGCAATTTCAGGATCAGTTTCTACTGGTAACTTTTAGTGTCAATTCGTTGTGCTCTAGCTGTAAGTAATAGAGAATATATAGAAAGTTCCTTTTTTAGCTTGTTTAAATAGAGCAATGTAAGGATAGAAGCAAAAATAGTCTCTCCTCCTGCCAGTTCTCAAGGAATACTAGTTTGGATCAGAGTTGAAGTTATTTCTGAAGTTTTCCTGTCTTGCTTTTAAACTGTTCCCCTTGAGCTAGTGTTCATGCTGATTGAATTGCACTTTGAAAAATAAGGAATCCTACTTAATAGCCATCATAGAATAATAGAATTTAGGAGTTGGGATAGACCTTAGAGATCATCCAGCCCCAATCCCTGCCCTGGGCAGGGACACCTCCCACCAGAGCAGGCTGCTCAAGGCTCAGCCAACCTGGAATGAAACACTGCCAGGGCTGGGGCAGCCACAGCCTCCCTGGGCAACCTGGGACAGTGTCTCACCACCCTCACAGGGAAAACTTCTGCCTAAGATCTAATCTCAAATCTCCCTCCTTCAGTTTGAACCCATTACCCCTTGTCCTATCCCTGCAGTCCCTAACACAGAGTCCCTCTCTGGCTCCTTGTAGGCCCTTCAGAGATTGAAAAGTTGTTCTGAGGTCTCCACACAACCTTCTCTTCTCCAGGCTGAACAGCCTCAACTCCCTCAGCCTGTCCTTGTAGGCAAGATGCCATGTATATATGTTTTTTTTTTTCCTTGGTGTATTTATAAAGCTGCTGTTTCACTGGGAAATGGAGCCCTGTGTGGTTTTACAAGCAGCTTCAGGCAGGAGTTGGGTAATGGTTTGTTGATGTTGATGAGGGTACAGAGGTTGTCAGTCCCATCAGTGCAGGTGTTGGTATGGCAGTGCCTTCAGGAGGTCAGGCTGCTTGAGTTCTACCTGAAACAAAGACACTTTGCTGAGGTGTTTGTGCACAAAAAAACCCAAAAAACCACAAGTAATTGTATTTTAAAATCTGTTTTAGGAGAAAAATTAATTTATTGCTGGTAATACAGTAGTGTTCAGGTGTCTGTGTGGGAATAATAAAACTGTTAACGCTCCTCTGCTGTTTGGTTCAGGGGATGGAATGTCTAATGACAGCAGTGACAGTGAGATGGAGGACTCATCTGCTCATCTGGCACTGCTGAAGTTAGATGAATGGCTCCATCTCAAACTGGACCCCGAAGTAAGTCATGGATCACTTTCATGCTTGTTCTTTGGAGAAGGATGTTTATGTCCTATCATCCTAAAAATATTCCTGAAACATTAGAGGAACCAAGGATGGTTGTCACAGTCATTTGGGTCTCTCAGATTTGCAGCACTCCATGGTTTAACTTTTATTTCATGAGCTCATCAAGACACAAACAAATGAGCTCCATCCCCTCATGCCCAGACTAGTCTGTTGAATGAATTCCTGTAGTCAACATCCAGACTGTAGTAAGGTTTGGAACTTTACCACCCATCGCTCTCACTTCTTGCCCCTGTGAAGAAGAAGGACAAAACCAAACCAGTGACCCTCCCCAGTGATGAGAGTGTTCATCTCTCCTGTCCTTGGACAGGGACACTGTGACAGAGGACAGCAGGAAACCTCAGCAGCCTCAGCTTCAACAGCTTTTGGAGCAGTTTGCTGGTTTATCCCAGAAGATAATGCTGCAGGGGACAGGTGATAATGGCTACATAATGGCCCTTCAGCTCTTCCTGCCCTGCCTGTGTGGTATTCCCAGCACACATCAGGCCTTAGCATGAGCTGGGGGAGCCAAAATCTGAGCAGGAGTTGAAAGAACAGTCCCATTGACATGTTGTGTATCTCCTTCTCTGAGAGGATGAGTAAAGTTGGATCAAAAAGGAGCCCTTGAAGCTGAAGTGGCTGAAAGAAAGTTGTCAGGTTTTAGAAAGAGGAAAAAAACACCTTGGAAATAGAAGTCTTGAGGTGGTTGAGGAGCTGTGGTAGGAGGTGGAGTAGTTTATGGGTAAGGAAATACTTCACCTATCAGATCTAGTCATAGAACTGTCTCTCCTAGAAGATGGTCAAAAGTGTGATTTTGGTTTTTAAGGGAGGCATTTCTGATAACATGAGAATTATAGTCTTCTAAATTCACTCACTTGAGCAGAAGTCTGTAAGAAAAAATACATCACTTAGAGCACTTTTCCCTCAGGTATGAGCAAAGAGTGCTGGAATATAGACAGAATCAAGCAGAAGGGCATAAAGCAATAAAAGACTGGGGATTTTTTTCTTGAAAAGATAAAATACTGCAGCGAAAATTAAAAACTTCTGTGGGCTTAGAATGCAGTTTTAAGTGTGGTACAGAGCTGAGTGCAATGTTTGAAAAGAAGCTGGAACTTAACAGTTTAATTTCAATGTGAGCTTTTCTCCCCCTCCTGGGGCCTCAGTTTTGCCTCTCCATGTGCACCCTGTTCATTGTAGAGTGCCAGATGTTGCCTGATGGAGCAGACATAGGGTCTCCTCACCTGCCTGGTCTGGTTAGTGGCTAACAGCACTGGAATTTGTTGCAGGCTGCTGGTTTGATGCTACAGCTCAGACAAAAGTGGCACAGCTTGTTTCTGCGGCGGATGCAAGCTCCTTCTAAACCATGGTCTCAGGTCGATGAAACCATTGTCAGAACAATCACAGCTATTTTAAGTGCTGAAGAACAGTCTGCAGGTTTGCAGCAGCCTTCAGGAATTGGGCAGAGACCAAGACCTGTGCCTTGTGAAGAGCTTCCTTCAGCATCTACATGGAGATCGAGCTACAGTAGGAAAAGCTCAGCAGAAACTGAATTCTCTGACTCCTCCAATACTGAAAAGTAAGATGTTGAGGTTTTCTAGACACTGTAGGTTGTGATTTGTTTTGCTACAAAAGCATCACTTGTTTTCTGCTAGTAATAAGAAGGAAGAAACGATAGAAATGAAAGTTGAAAGGTTTTTGCTACTGTCCCATGCTGTGCTGGAGTTGTGATTTCACTACAGAGTGTTGAAAGGTGTTTGAGGGAACAGTCAGGAATATTGTCCATGAATTGTGATCTTTGGGAAGTAGCAGAAGAGGTTTAACCATAGCATCCAAAACCAGTGCTTCATGTGTTCTGGAATTACTGGAATTACATGGTCAGGCAGTAGTAGAGAGATGGATCTAAATTGTTCTGTGACCTCTTACGAAGCTTGTGGTGTGTCCTGGCTCTACTTTTTTTAGAGTTTTGATGAAATCTGCGGCTCCTGTACTTCAGCAGCCAAAGAAACACAAAGAAAAAGACATTTTGCACTCCAAGGGAGCAGATCAAACATCACTGAAGGCGACAGACAGCAGTAGCTCCCCCAGCCCTTGTTCTGCTGCTCCTTCTCCCATCTCTGGAAAGGTAGAGCTCTTATTATTACTCTGCTCTTCAAAAGTAATAGGATTTCTTGCTGATACCTTTCTGCAACTATCAGGTATTATATGGATGAAGAACCTAATTTAGCTTTTGTTTACAGCAGCTGCATAATCCTTATTCCTGGAATTTAGAATCTAGGCTAAATATCCTTGTTAGACTAGTTTAACACAGTGAAAATCTTATCCTTTGCAGACTGCTGAGGTAAAGCTGTCCAAAATATAAAAGATCAGTTATTTTATTGAATCATCTCATAAACAGTGAAAGTGTTCCCCTCATCCATTTTAAAACCAAGTCAGGACCAACTGATGGATTCTATTCTTGCAGAATCTGGGGCAGGGGGTGAGGAGGAGCCTAGTGAAAAGATTATGTGTGTAAAACTTTCAGACTAAAGGCTGGTTTATTTCATTGTCTTTTTTAATTTCATTGCCTTTTTCCAGGGTTCCAAATCTCCTTCCTCAAGACCGAATACACCAGTTCGGTACTTCATAATGAAAAGTAGCAACATGCAAAACCTTGTTATTTCTCAGCAGAAGGGCATGTGGTCCACCACACCCAGCAATGAACGAAAACTGAACTCAGCTTTCTGGGAGAGCAGCAGGGTTTACTTAATATTTTCTGTGCAAGGGTCTGGACACTTTCAGGTGAGTCACAGAACCATAGAATCATAGAATTTAGGGGTTGGAATGGACCTTACAGATCATCCAGCCCCAACTCCCTGCCCTGGGCAGGGACACCTCCCACCAGAGCAGGTTGCTCAAGGCAAATCCAACCTGGAATGAAACACTGCCAGGGTTGGGGCAGCCACAGCCTCCCTGGGCAACCTGGGACAGTGTCTCACCACCCTCACAGGGAAAAACTTTTTTCTCACATCCAACCTAGACTTTCCCTCCTTCAGTTTGAACCCATTGCTCCTTGTCCTGTCCCTGCAGTTCCTAACACAGAGTCCCTCTCTGGCTCCTTGTAGGCCCTTCAGAGATTGAAAAGTTGTGCTGAGGTCTCCACACAACCTTCTCTTCTCCAGGCTGAACAGCCCCAACTCCCTCAGCCTGTCCTCACAGTGGAGATGCTCCAATCCTCTTAGCAACTTTGTGGCCTCCTCTGGACTTGCTCCAACAGTTCCATGTCCTTCTCATGTTGAGGACACCAGAACTGTGTGCAGTATCCCAGGTGGGGCCTCACCAGAGCAGAGTAGAGGGGGAGTTTCACCTCCTTTGAGCTCCTGCCACACTCTTTGGATGCAGCTCAGGATTCAGTTGGCTTTCTGGGCTGAGCACACACTGCAGCTCATGGGGAGCTTCTCATCCACTGTTAGTCCTTAGCTACCAGTGAATATTACTGTGGTTGATGGTTAGGGGAGTGCAGCAAATGACTGTGCAGCTTGGAGGGCTTTGCTGACCTTCTGCTGAGTGGTCACATGGAAATGACTCTGCTGAGGAAATAATACTTCATTCTCTTCTTTGTTTGAGCTCAGTTTGTCCCTCAAAGTCTAGGACAAAACATCAGGAGTCAGAATAACATTTATACCCTACGTTAATCCTTAAAAACAACAAAAAATCCAAACAAAGCAGAGTTTTGCTGCTCTTTGCATGCCAAAATAGATATGGTAAGTGAACAAGGAGTTAAAGTCAAGTCACAGTTTTCTAAAACCAGAAAAGCCAGAGGTGTCTGTATTGCAGATTTTAACAAAAACTTTTGTCTGAACTGTAGTTTGTGGTTAGGAAGCTGGAATGTTCTGGCCAGGATTAGTCCATGGCTGTATCTTGACTTCAGATTTAGTGGGATATTTATCAACAGTTGGTTGACAAACTTGTGGCCAGTTTGAAAGTAAAGACTTGACCTGGTAGTGCAGAGCTGCAGGTTAGCTGCACTGCAGAGCAGCTAAACTCGATTGTTCCACTCCAAGTTCAACTTCCCTTGTTCTGACTTTGTAGATGTCAACATTTTAGAAGACACAACTCCATGGCAAAATCACTTTGAAGCTAGTTGGAACATTTCATGTGCAGTCAGTTACTTCATTCCAGCATGAGCAGTTATGCTCTCGTGATGTCTCTTCTGTCATAGCTCAATTTTTTTTTCCCCAGGGCTTTGCCAGGATGTGTTCAGACATAGGATGTGAGAAGAGTCAGGACTGGGGGTCTGCCAGTTTTGGAGGTGTGTTCCAGGTGGAGTGGATCCGGAAGGAAAGCATTCCCTTTCAGTTTGCTCACCATTTGGTCAACCCTTGGAATGACAATAAGAAAGTACAGATGAGCAGGGATGGCCAGGTAAGGTTGTTCTCTTCTGTATCTCTACTTGGTAGAGCTTATTGTGTTTGTTTTTTTGCTTGGTCAGCCCTGACCTTTCTCTCCACTCTGCTCATACATCTGATAACCTGAGTCCCAGTTCAGGGGTGCACATTGTGCCTCCTGCTAAGGCAGAGTTACTGCTGAAGTAGTGCAGATATTTGTCATTACAGCACTGACTTTTCTGTAAAGCCTGAAGAGAACCTTGAGATTTGAGGCAGAATAAAGCTTAGGGCAGTTGTCCAGTTTGTCTAAGCTACAGGCAACTGCCACAGATGGAAGAGAACTGGCACAAGAGTTCTCTCTGACAGTTCCTGCCTTCTCCCCAGTCCCCTCCAAAACATGGACTTGATAGAAAATTCTGGAGCTAAACGTTTCTGTATGATCTTCTCCCTCCTTCCCCCAAACCTTCCCAGTTTTAAGCATAGGGAAAGGAGAGTGGCTCATGGTGGAGTTGACAGTATTGCTCATCTACGTGGCTCTTAAGACCTAAAGAGTCTTAAAAACAAGTGATATTAATGTCTCTGACTCCCCCAAGAGCCACTGCATTACCTGTGATCTGCCTTTCCACCTTCTCCACCAACCTTGATGGAGTTAAACCTAAGAGATGTGGAGAATAATGGGCTTTACTTAGTGACCTGTGGAAGACACAAAAGTATGTGGGACATCTCTCATGGTGTTCACTCAGAGTTCTTTGCTTGTGAACTGTGAATGGAAAACCCCACACAGCCTGTGGGCCTGGCTGGTGTCTGAAAGCTTGTGTCTCCTGCTGAGCCTGAGCAAGAAAAGCTTCCTGTGGGGGGAATTCTGACATAGGCCTCAATAGCAGAAGGAACAAGCTCTTCCAGAGAGGCTGAAAACAATCACCTCATCTAACAAGTCTGTAAGAAAGACTTCGTGTATGTTCAGCACAAACAACTTTTCTTTGTAAGAAATACTTTGTGTATGTTCAGCACAAACAACTTTTCTCTAATTCCCTGCTCATTTCTAGGAGCTGGAACCCCAAGTTGGAGAGCAGTTGCTGCAGCTGTGGGACTCTATTCCTTTGGTAGGGAAAAACTCAACTGACTGAGCATGTCAGGTGAAGTTACTTCATGCACTGCTCACTGGTTTGTGGTAGAGGAAACTGCCATTACGGTACTGTTTTCCTTGGTAGCTGGTGGAAGACCAGGTACACTTAGTGCTAAATATTGTCTTCCTTTTGGTTTTCTTGTTCAGTTGTGGTTGTTGAAACATCAGCCCTGAGCCCTAGAACGAGTCTGTGGTATAAAGATGAGGAAGGTGGTGCAGCAGTTCCTGGCATTGTGCAGTTAGCAGTGGGAACATAAGAGGGAAATGTGTTGGTTTCAGTGTTCCCTTGTCTTAGCAAATATCCTAAGGTTACTCACCAACCTGGTTTTGATTGTTTTTTACAGTGGTGTGTGGTTGGGATTTCAAAACATGGTTGAGAACTAAGTGTGAAACAATGGAGCACAAACAAGTTGTTTCTTGGTTTAAAATAGCACAGCACAGTTTAAATGTGCAGTTCATATTTCATGCTTTCTCAGCCCAGGATGAGAGGAGAATGTTGGTACATAAATCCTGCAGTTTGCTTAAAAATACATCTAGATATCTCCAAAGAGGTTGGAAGGTTCCATAAGTGTCTGTTGAACTTGTGTATGCAGAGAGAGCAGGATATGTTCATACAAACAACGAGGAAACTGGAGAATGTGGATCTTTAACTTAGAGAAGGGAAGGGAGGATGAGACTTTGAGTGGGTTGGGCCAGTGATGTTTCCAGTTTCCATTACTTTTGGCCTCTGAAAGGTACTCACACTTTCACAAACTGAAAGTCTTTCAGAGTTCTGTGACCAAACACTGTTCTAACAGTTCACTATCAACAAAAAATAAAAAATACTTCTCAGCACAACTTTGTCATTTGATGTAGTTTTCATGCTTGCTTCTTATGCTTTGTCTTTCAAGTTGTTTCTTCTTCCATACCATAAACTGTCTTTATCTGAACCTGTGAATTTTGTCACTTCTCCCCTCCCAATTCCCTCCCCCACCCCACTGGAGGGCAGTGAGTGAAGGGCTGTGTGGGCTCAGCTGCTCACCAGGCTTAAACCACAAGAAACACCTAACAAGGGCTGCTCAGAAGCATGGAGAGAGAGTTTGAACGTGGCCTGTAGTGACAGACAAGAGGTGGTGGCCTTCAACTGAAGGTGTGACTTAGATTTGCCACACAGAAAGCATTTTTTCCAATGAGAGTGGTGAGACACTGGCACAGGTGATTTAGATTTGCCACACAGAAAAACATGAGAGTGGTGAGACACTGGCACAGGTCACCCAGGTACATTGGGATGCCCATTCCTGGAAGGGTTCAAGGCCATGTTGGAGCAACTTGGTCTAGTGGAAGACACCTCAGCAGATGTTCAGGTGAGTCCCTAATGCCATGGGGATGGGCTCAAGGCTGGGGATGGGTCTTCTCTGCAGGACATCAGCTGTGCTGCAGAATGAAATTGTGGTGATGAGCATGAGTTTGGACTCTTAGGTTTGGACTCTGCTTTTCCCAATCCGGGCACTTCTCCAGGCTCCCCTGCAGCTCCAGCCCCAGATGATACAACATTCTCACTCTCCCATTTCCATCTGTTCTTCCATGGAATGTTCCATACCATGAACTGGCTGGGGCTATCTCAAACAGCCCCTGTGGTGTTCAGGGGCTGGAAATGCCCCACCAGAGTGGCTTCCCCTTCCCTGGACTCTCCTGAGTCAGTGTTCTGCAGTTCTCTAATCAATGAGGCACAAAGCAGACCCAGCCAAAAGGAAACTCTTCCAGGTGACTGAAGATTCCTCGGGAACATTCAATGCAAACAGCCAAGGCAGGTGCCAGAAATGTTTTCCCACTGCCCCACAGCAGCTCCCTTCTCTCTGCTCAGTGTCCTGTAAGGATGGAACCTTCTCCCTGGCCCTGGGAATGTCAGCAGAGAATTGAACCACTGTCACTGCTCTGTGCCCACGTGGGTCACAGCTGACAGTGCCTCGGAGCCAGGACAGGAGCACAGGACACTTGGGTGTGAAGGTCACATCCTGCTCAGGGACAGCACTGGGCTGGGGCCAGGGAGAGCTGTGTCCCAGCCCAGACTGGAGCCAGAGCCCTGCTGGGGACAGAGTCTTGGGGTCCATGTGGGGCAGCTCAGCCAAGTGGGACCAGGTGATGTGGGAGGAGATGGTGGTGCCAGGTGTGACAGGGTGAGGGCCAGGGCAGGGGCTGTTCCCTTCTGCAGGGGATGTTCCATCTGGGCTCTGCTCAGGGAGGTTGTGGCTGGACCTAGAGCAGTTTGGGGCACTGGGAAGTGGTGGGATGTGGCTCTAGGGGCTGTGGGAGGATGGGTTGGGTGCAATGAGGGTTGTCAGCACAGGGTCTAGGCTCACTGCCCACCCCACTGGGCCCTTCCACATACAGCTGCCCCATGCAGGAAGCTGGAGGGATGCCAGGGAAGGGGCTGGATCTGTCCCAGAGGCACAGGTGACTCTCTGCCAGGGCTGTGCCTATGCCAACATGGGTTTTGCCCTGGGGGCTCTTGGGGAGGGGGCAGGGAGCAATCCTGGGAGGGATAAATGTGCTGCTCCCCTTCTCCAGCCTCACTCAGCACACGGAGAGGAAGATGAAGGTGTCTGTGCTCAGCGTGGTCCTGCTCTGCAGCATCCTGCTGTGCACACCAGCAGATGCCACCACCAGTCTCCACTGCATCCTGCAGGGACACCTCATTTGCCCGAAGGACCCTGGCTCTGGTGCAGGATCATCTCCTGCTGGTGAGCAGGAAAACGCTTGGCTTGGCCTCTCTCCCTTTCACCATCCAGGGGCACCTTGGGGCTCCCCTGTGATTTTCCTTCTCAGACCAGGGGCAGCCATGGGCTGGGGGTCTAGAGATATGTGTGTCATCCCCTCCCACCTCCACAAGGTCCAATCCTGACCAACCCTTTGCTCTTCTTCCCCAGACAATGGTCATAACAGGTGGCATTGGCCGCATCTGGGTAAGTACTGGAGTTGGGGGACATCCAGCATGGGAACTGGGGGGCAGTTTGGTTCCCCCATCCCTGACTGGGACTGGGGACACCCCACTGACGTCTCACGGTCTCTCTACAGGGAGGCGTTACAGGAAGAGAAAATAACAGCCAAGTGGGTACCAGGAGTTTTGGGACCAGACCCTCTCTCCCATCATGGTCACAACCCTGCAGAGCATCCCAGTGCACCCCAGTCCAGCCCAGTGCATTCCCCTTTCCCACTGCCCATGACTGTGGTATCCCTGATTCCCCTTCCCTGACCCTCAAACCCCCTCCCAATCCCCTCGATTGTTTTCCCGTGTCCCCCTCTTTCTCCTACCCCCACCCACCTCCTGCTACATCCCCCATGTCCCCTCCACTGGAATTCCTTCCTCCTTACCCACATCACCCACAGTCTTGTCCCTTCAATACCCCCAGCCACATCCCTTGGGGTCCCCATTTCCCCCAGTGCACAGTGTTTGTGTCCCCCTCCCCATCCTTCCATCCCTTGCTGGGTCTGGGCACACTTCAGTGACCAGCAAGGTCTCACTGTCTCTCTACAGAGGATCATCAAGGCAGTCCAGTGAAGACATCTGAGGTAGGTACTTGAGTTCTGCTGGGTCCAGACCTCCTTCTCCCATGCCCATGACACTCCAGTACATCCCAGTGTGCCCCAGTATCCCCCAGTTTGTCTCTAACCCTGCCCTTCTCCCTATTTGCCCTCTCGGGTGGGCAGATCTTGGGGATGGCAGAGGGACACGGAGGGGCTGTCCCTGATCCATGTCCCAGGTGAGCTGGACTGAGCTGCCCCCAAGCCTTTCCTTGGTGGGTTCTGCAGACCCCCAGGGTCACTCTGGGGCTGGGCAGGGGCTCTGGGAGGTTTTGAGGCATCCCAGGCTGAGGGCTCTGGGTGTCACATGGATCTCTGGAGCCAAGTCCTGTCCCAGGGCTATAATTTCCTTCTCCTGTGCCAGGTCCCTGCAAAGAGAGGGGCAGGGACAAGGCTCCTCTCACGACATGTTGGGCTCTGTCTTTCAGGACTGGAACTGGTGGTGGCATTCATGGCTGTTCCCCTCCAGAGACATAAGGAAATGATCACCCCTGGATAATTTCCCTGGGAGCCCTGGGCCTTTTCCCTGGAATGATCAATAAACAGCTTCAGCAAAGCTTTGCTCTGCATCCATCTGTCCATGTGTGTGTTTGTGTGTGGGACTGGGGTGGATGGGGCTGGAGGAGGATGGAGAGGGATGGAGAGGCCACTGGATGAGGGTGATGGGGATGGAGATGGTGAAATGTGTTCCCCTGATTCTTGTCCATATGGAGTGATGTTGGAATCTTGTAGCAGAATATGAATCTAGTGTGGGGAATCGTTAGTCGATCTGTTTGTTCTTGTACAACTGAGAAAAGAGAGGAAGCAGGATGCTAAAGATCTTGAAAGATTGTTGGAAGAAGAATCTGTGAACTAGTAAAAGAATTTACTTAGTGCTTAGAAAAGGGGGGACTGATACAAAGAAGCTAAAAAGATTAATCAATGATGTACTGGAATTTGCTTACTAAACAACTGGTACTGCTTGTGCTTGCTCCACATTGATATGCATAATTCTAAAGGAGAAGACACTGACCAGAGCTAAGGGGGGAATTGAGAAGAGAAATAGGCCCCAAAGAAAAAAATTTAAGGAGGCAGCAGCAGGGTAAACAAAGGAGGCTCCAAAAGGCAATTAAGGGCCTGTTGAGTGAACAAGGGAAGAAATAAATCAAGACAGTAGTTCACAACAAGGTGTTACCTTATCTTACCAAATGTATAGAACACTAAATTAAGGATTGCTTTAGCTTATTAACACACAAGAGTGCTGAGTTAGCAAAAATACAAGTATAATGTGCATGTGCTAAGGGACGAGCTGAAAAGTTTAAGCTGATGATGACTACTAGCCTTCCTCTTGAAGACCCCTGCCCATGACCACCTGAAGATACTGCGCAAGCACAAACGCATGGGAAGGAGTTTAGAGCTCATTATTATACGAAGCAGAGACAGGTTATGAATATGTCTAGG